GATATATCAGAATGCACTTTGGGACTTAAATTCATACTATTATCAGAGGAACGGGTAGCTTCAGGAGTGGTTCTTTTTCTTTTTCTTTTTTTTTTGCTGGCATTTGATTCTGTTTCCTTGTTGTAAATTGGGTTCCTATATAATATTATTCCTTGTGGTCCACAGGAAGTTGTAATCCTAATCTTAACTCCAAATTCACCTTTGCTGCTGTGGGAAGTAGATTAGCTTCGCTGGAACATGGCTACAATCCTCAAATGACTCTAAAACCAGGGATATAAAGTGAATGAACTAAAAACCTGAATCTGAAAATGCCTTATATTGTACATTTTTTTTTTGCAAAATGTTCACTGTAACATGTGTGCTGCTCCAACTGAACTCCTGTGCAAATAGATTGATGCTGAGATCTTCCTTTTCTGAACGATTATATCCCCACTCCCTCTCCTTGGCTTCAAGTTTCCCTTCAAACCATAAAAGTGAAATGGCGGTTTTGAAAACGAAGACTTTCCCCGCCATCCCCGTCTCCCTTCCTTTGCTGCCCCTTCAATAGTGCGAAGCGTCCTTGGAATCTTCCGTCGTCGGAACCCTTCCGGCCCCTCCGATCACGGGAAAACCTATTACAGCTGCCCCAGGGAGGAAGAGCAGAACCGTTTGGAAGCAGCTACGACTCCCGCAGCAGCTACTGAGGAAGTGGCCTGACCGCGCCAATCTGACACAAGCGATTGCACCCGAGTTGATAAGAGATCAGCCCCAAATCACAACTTTCCATAGAAAAGCCGCGATTCAGACGGGTCTGTGCTCAGGTTTCACCCAAGGGCTACGTTCTCACGCTCCCTTCTTGTTATTGATGAAGACCACCGGGGTGGGGGACTTTCCCACAGCGCGCTATTTTTTTTTTTACTTCAAGGTTGTTAGCGCCGCAAAGGGACTTTATTCCAAGCCGGCCTAGCTTCAGAGAGGCTCTTCTGACCCTCCTTTCAAGACCTGAAAGCGAAAACTGTGACTTTCGCTTGTCAAGTCACCCCATCTATGTAGCTCTGCACCTGTATTTTATTCTAAGGAGCAGCATAGGACGTCCAATAAACGCGGCATTTACGTTTCGTTGCTCATAGAAAGAGAAAGGTTGGGTTTTGCAATTCGGGCAGGAACTCTAAACCGAGAATCGGCGTCTTTGGCAGGACCCTCGGTCAACTCGGTCCTATAAAATCACGCGGGTCATTTGCTTCTAACGTTTCAGTGCTCTGAATCTCGAAAAAACTGGCATGAGAGAGTCGCAAAGGTGCTTTTCCGAAAAGGCAACCGGACTTTTCTTGGGTTTTTCCTTGAAAACGTTTCGCTTCTCATCCAAGAAGCTTATTCAATTCCTTAGACATTTAGCATGAGAATGAACTTATCTATGGGGAAGACTCTCAATAACGACTATTGGGAGCAGGAAATGGGAGTCAAAAAAGTCAAGATAGCATCCGTGGACAGTACAATAGAAACCCGTTTTTCTTTCTTTTTCTTTTTACGTGACTCATGCTTGCGACACAAAGGCAAAAAAATTCGGGGTTTCGATTTTGCGCCGGTTATTGCTAATTTGGCATTTTTACCTCGTTGCTTCGGGGACGAACCCAGTGGTCCCAGGCTGGATGTCTCGTGTAAATTTGAAATCAGAACTATCAAAACTTTATTGACAACCCCAGGCTTTGTTATTAAACAGTAAGCAATGATAATTAGTTGAAACAGATCATGATGTGGGCATTAATGTCTACACCAGTTTTGCTCTGTCCTACCTTGCTTTTACTTTACTCACAGATTAAGTCCATTGCATCTCCGACCCATATGTGCAAGAACTACCTAACGAAATATTATTAGATAATACTTCTGTCTGTCTGTCTGTCTATTAATCAATCTGTCTAGAGCTGAAAAGAACCTTGGAGGTCTTCTAGTCCAACCCCTGCTCAAGCAGGAGACTCTAGTCTATACCATTTCAGACAGGTGGCTGCCCAGTCTTTTCTTTAAAAACCCCAGTGATGAAGCACCAACAACTTCTGAAGGAAAACTGTTCCACTGGTTAGTTGTCCTCACTGTTAGGAAGTTTCTCCTTAACTCTAGGTTGCTTCTCTCCTTGATTAGGTTCCATCCATTGTTTCTTGTCTTGCCTTCTGATGCCTTGGTAAATAAATTGATCCCTTCATCTTTGTGGCGGGCCCTAAAATATTGGAATACTGCTACCATGTCATTCCTACTCCTTCTTTTCTCTAGACTAGCCATACCCAATTCCTGCAACCGTTTTTCATATATATGTTTTTACTCTACTTTGTCCAGTCTAACTAAAGAAGGGACCATGTACCCCTTTCTTTCCTCTCCCCTAAAGCCTCCTGGCCGGCCGCCTTGCCTGTGGAAAGAATTCCCCGGCCAGACTGAGGTGTTTAATTGAGATCGGCGGGATTAGAATAACCTCAAGTCGGAATCGTGTCCATAGTTCTGATTTCAAATTTACAAAGTTCGAGCATTAAAAAAACCAACAACCCTCGAAAGCTATCGGTTCGAGCATCAAGGGAGCATTAGCAGGATACGCTCTCTCCCCTCCTCCGCCTCCTCCGAGAGCCTTCAATTCGAAGCGGCCACTGGCTTTGGCCTTTTCACACCGAAGTCCCGCTTCTCAAGTGGCGGCTTGGAACTGGGGAGAGGCGAGAACCCGAGCAGCCGCTGCCTTTTCTGCCTCTTCTGTTTCTCTCTTTTTCTTTTCCCTTCCAACCGCTTTTCCAAGCGCGGCGTGGGGTTTGGGGAGAGAGGTCGGGACGGACGGAATGCGGTTCTCTCGGCAGCGTTATCAGAGGCGGCCACAAATGCCACATGAAACGCAGCAAACATCCGGCGCGCTTCCTGAGAGCCGCCGCTAGTTCTCAAGACAAGCGAGAGAGAAAAAGAGGGAGGGCTCCAGAGAGGGGGCAGTGGGTGGAGGCGCCCAGATCTCTGGAGACCGACGCGCGCGAGGACATACACACAACACACACACACACACACACACAGACACACACACACACACACACACACGGAGGCAGAATTCAGCGGCGCAGGGCGCAGAGATGCAGACACGCTCCTATTGTTTGTGGGCGCCTTTGCTTCGCCCCCACTTCCCCCTCCCCGGGGAATTTTAAGTAGGAGAGAGTTAAAATTACGCACGCACACCTTACGCCAGCGTTTTGAATCTGCACCACCATCCCACACACACGCACACATGCGTTACACCGGATAGAAGGGCGAACCTTAAGGCAAACAGATCTGGAGTAAAGAGGAGTAGAATGGTCTGAAACTTTCCTATTGGAAAATGCCGTCGACTAATTGCCCTCCTGGGCGCTGCCCTATGCAGAACTGGTTTTGTGCGCAAGCTGCGCGACAATGATTTGCGTGAAGCTTGTTCCAAAAATATACCCTATTAGATGCAATAAGGGTCCCTTCCTCGGGGAGAGTTTTCTGCTTGGCTCCAGTGCCCTTCTACTGACTGGCGAGGCTTGCCTTTCCCGCACCTGTCCTTGGGTCGCTTCTTGGACACCCACCTGGAAAGCGGAAATAGCGGAGACAACAACTGTGCCTGGATCCAGTGGCGGAGTAAGGTTCACTGGTGCCCTAAACACTGATAAATCTTGCTACCCCCCTCCTTTGTACATACTGTACAAATCTTGGTTGGTTTTTTCTTTCTTTCTCAACTTTGTGGTGTTTCTTTGGGCCTGATGCACTAAGCACGAACTTAGTCTGCTTAATGGTTAATACACCACTGCCTTGATCGGAGTATTGGGGGGGAGGGGGAGCGGGAGCGGGTGTTGTCATTCCTTTGCAAATCAAACTCTATTGAAGGTGCTTTCAGAAACATGAGAAGCGTGAATGGACCAAAGGGATCCAGTCACCTAAGCAGCGAAGGGGTGTTGTGAATCCTGCCCTTCCCTCATCTTTAGCCCTAATACATTTCTCCTTTTTTCAGACTCGAAAATATCTCTGGATCTCTTGAACTGTATTCGGTCCGGCTGTTGTACTCTGCATTTTTCAAAATGTAAAAATAAAAAAGGTCTTTCTCTTCCACTGAGACCAAGTCTGTTTTACAACTGCACCGTTGCCGCTATTGTTTCTGCACAAGTGACATTTAGGCCGTGGTTGCAAAGAGCTTCGCAGCTTCTTTCAATGATGTTCTAGGCTACGTGAGGTTTTCAACGTCGTTTCTCTCAACAGTGCGGTATTTCTTTCCTTATGACTTCGGGGCGCTTCACTTAGGTTTCCAGAGCGCCTTTCTCCAACACCTACACTTGAAAAGAGGATTTCAGGTCATTTGGGCCTGTGGCTCTTTGCAAGCTCTCCTTTGAAGCTATATTTAAATATAATCAGTGGAAATTTGCAAATCGAATGGGTTTAGGACCAACCGCTAATACATTTATTTCCTTTCCTTCCTTTACTGATAACATATTGGATCTAGTTCAATCCGACAATAGTACTTTGTGGCCCATTTCCCTTGATTTCCAAGGAAAGAAAGAGTTGTGCATTTTTTTTCACACAGAAATAAGTCAAACTACTATTGGCTTTCAATCAAGCTAAATATCTTTTGGCACTTGTTCTCTCTCCTTTATCTTTTTGTTTCCTGCCTTCTCTTCACCCATCTCCCCTCCAAAAATTAGAGACAAATTTTTGTCCAAGCTTCCTTCCAATAAGAGTAGGCAGAAATGAGAGAAGACTTCCATCATGTTATAAGAGGAAGAGGAAAGGACATATGATTTCATTTCTTTTGGGAAGAAAGGGAACATATCACAGCCATTTCTGCTTTAAATTTATTATGAAATGGGGTTGGCAGTCAGGTTTTACTTTTAGATACAACAGCCCTGCATTGTCTTACTGCAATGTCCAGAAAATAATGAAGATTATTTGGGATTTGTTTTTATTTTTTTATTTTGCTAAATTGACAGTTTGCTTGTGCTTTTCAGGTTCATTCATGTTCATCCACCTCCTTGCCTTGAAGTAACATCATTAACTGCTCAACAGTTTTGTGATTTACCTTGTTACAAAATCCTGACAGGGTTTGTTTCTCTTTTCTCTGGGGTTATCTTGCCCTGCTATCTTCCCAAGTGCTTTTTTCTCTGTATTACTTTAACATAGGGGATGCCCAAATGGGCTTAGGGAAGAGGAGCAGGCAAACCAGCCTAAAGTGAGACAAAGCCCTGAGCTTAGATTTCCCATTCCTGTTGCAATGAGCTGCTGCTGGATGTGTTCCTTAAGCAATCACTAGTGATGTGCCTAAAGAAGAGAGCACCAAACCCAGAGAAAGAAAACAGTCACTTTTCCTATCATGACTGGCACACTAACACATCAAGACAACGCTGGTTGGCATGAG